CTCATGGAACGGACAAAGACTCAACAGCCGTCCTGTCTCACAGATCAGTGGATCGTCGGTCTATGAACCCTAGACCCTAAACCCTGGACCGACTTGCACTTCTGACAGAGGGGTTGCGAGCTACGAGCGGCTGCCAACTTGGCCAAAGATCGTCTCCTGCGACCTTTGGTACAGTTGGATGGCGCTTTGTGCGCGTGGTACAGGGGGTGGATAACGACGGCATGAACGCCCAAAAGGGGGTAAAGCGACCGACCAACAAGGCAACGAATTCGTGCAGTGGGAAGATTTCGAATTCGGCTGGGCACAGGGCCCCAGGGGGCCGGTTGGGGGCGTCTCCATCTTCAAGTTGGCTTTGGGGGTGCGCTCCGCCATCCTGAGTTCATGATGCTTGTGGTTGCTGTCGTCACTGCCTTTCTCTGGCACGGTACGCGCTCATCCAGCTTGGCTTCCCACCATGCATTGTTGTGCGATGTGTCACGCAGGGGCTGGAGCAGCTGTTGAGATGCGTAGCTTCTTCGTCAGGAACACCGCTCATCATCACAATCATGACCAGACCTTGGCGAGCGGCGCTGCGCATGGCGTCGTCTTCCAGTGCGCATCCGATGCGGCAGGTACAGCGCGTAAAACAGGGAGACACTGCATTGAGACACCCTTTGCGGCCGACATTGTCCCATGCATCTTTGGCTTGGGGCTTCACTCCTTGTGCAGCGTGTACACTGTCTAAACAGGGAGGACCGTGTCCATCTGGCCAGGAGTGCGTGACGCGCCAGACGCCCACAGAAGCTGGTGTGAAAGCCTCAGCAGCTCACGCGATGCAGCTGCTGCAGGGTGACGATCCGATGAACCAGCAGATTCCATGCACATCCCGTGGGAATCGCGAGTTCACCATCATGAAGTCACCCCCGGTCTCCCAAGTGAACCAACTCTTCAACAATTGGTAGGTAGAGGGATGGAGGCAGCTTGGGGGAAGAAGCGGGAAGCAGGCAGCCCTCCCGCGACCACCGCTGCCTCCGTATGCATGTGCAACGCTTGTTGCGAAGCGGTGATGATAGAGGAGCGTGAGGAGCAAGAGGGAGAGCAGGAGGAGGCCGAGGAGGAAAAGGGAGACTTCGACATCGACAGACACATCGCCAAGGCCAGGGAGACGGGCAACGTCCGCTTCAAGTCCGACTCGACGGCAGACGAGCTCCTCGCCGCACTGGACGAGGCCGAGAAGCAGCCTGGATCGTACTCCTATCCTGGGGGCGGGAAGGCACACGACACATTCACGCAGGAGCTTAACACTGAGAAGCCCCTTGAGTGGGTTCCGAAGTGAACAGACCAGAGAAAGGCCGCATGTCTGTCATTCGTGAGAAAGGAGAGAGGGACGGAGGCACATCCCTTTTCGCTGGAGTCCTGAGTTGAGGCACAGACAGACACAGACAGAGACATACATGCTGTGATCTGATCCAGAAAGAAGAATGAAAATGGACGGACAACGTGCGGGGTGCACTCTCGCAGTGTAATTTCATGGTTGGTCAGCCGATTATTTGTGTCTCCCCCGAGTACCGACACAGCAGCCCCCCCGACACATATGCATAAGCAGCATAAGAAGAGGCTATTTGTGGGCACACAGTCTGGTCAGCCTGAGAAACAGCACCCACACCATGTGTGCACCTGACATCCAACCTATCAATCAATCAGCCTATCAATCAGCCAATGAGTGCCTCGCCGTCATGGCACGCACAGACCAGGATATGTTTCCATCGTCCACGGGGGCTGCAAAGCCGCAGGCCAAGACATTTCAACCGGCCCATTGATGAGCGGACACTTTGTGGCTGAACCTAGTGTCACGCTGTCTCGATGAGCGGACAGACCATCGAAGAAGGGTATTTGTGTTTTTACAGATCGGCACACTCACGCAGGCGAGTCATGTCTCGTTCGTGCAGGCACAGACAGACAGACAGACACCCTCGGCCCACATGCAGCCAGCAAGGCTTGATCGCTCCAAGCCTTCAAAAAGGCCAAAACACGTTCATCGATCGGGTCAGTCGAGGTACCATATCCAAGCAGTCAATGTCTATCTATTCCAAGAGAGAGAGAGAGCCGCATGCAGCCAACGGCCATGCCACACAGGAGGTGAAAAACTCGACTGCGGCCATGCACACACTGAATGCACGAGGGGGCTCTCGCGTGTACAGCAGACATCGATGGCTGGATGGCTGGCTGGCTGGATGGATGGAAAGGCACGCACCTGGCAGTGAGCTTAGCTCGATCCCGAAAGCTCACACGCGATGCTGACTGACTGACGACTGCCCGTACCGTCCGGACGGACCATCCATTGTCTGCGCTCACCCACCCACAAACTGACCGGCTGACTCGCTCAAAAGAGTGGCGCCGTCAGCTGACCACCACACACGACACACACTACGTATTGCCCCCCCAGCCCGCCCGCCCGCCCTCATGTGATCAAGTTGTCTGTCTGTCCCCGCTGGAAGAGCGATCCGAGCACGAACTTGAGTGCTTCGTATGTGCCCCAGCAGAGGGCCGCCGACGGCGCACCCTGCAGGGACCGCAGCAACATGCCCTGACATGACATGCATCACACAGACAGACAGACAGACAGACAGGCAGAGAGAGATGTGCCACGTCACGTCAGATGTTGATGCATTGGGCACGCTGCGAGTGGTCACCCTGCAGAAGCCGTGGAGCCCCTCCTCAACCCATATGGTGCGGCTCGTCGACAGGAAGTCCTGATGAGGCACAATAGAGACCGACACGCAAGTGTGGCTGTGACACTTTCTCGACTCATTCGGTGGTGTTATGTTGTGGCCTTGTCGCCCTCGCCCCCCCCCCACCGACCCACCTGGTATTTCAGAGTGACGGTGGCGGCATCCGTTGCCGCCACATTGATGGCCTGCTCGCCGGTCGCACTGCATTCACACGACTGAATCGATCAAATCAAAGGAGACAACGCAAACATACACAAAAGGTGAGACGTAGGCCTCTCTTGTCTGTCT